GCGGCCTGGACACCCAAACACCATAAACCCCGCTTACGTCAATTCAAACCCCGAACCCTAACCTTAAACTAAATCCTAAACTCCAAAGTACACCCTAAGCCCTAGACCCTTCAAGCCCTAAAATCTGCACCTTCAAACCCTGAAGCAACTCCTTGAGTCCCTGTCAAGACGGGGCTGTACCAGACTGTGCCGCCCTCATGCCACGGGCCCAGGCTGGCAAAGGGTTTAGGGTTTGCAAACGGTTTAGAGTGATGTAATCCCTGTAACAGTGCCCAGTGCCCAGAATATGATTACACCCCGCCTAATTCGAAACCCACCAAACCTTGAACCTTGCACCCTAAGCCCCTACACCTCAAACTGCAACTCCCTAGACCTTACACCCACTGCAGCTTAGGTGGCTCTGGTATGGACATCGCGCTGGCAGTGGCGCAGCGACTGTCTACTCTTCGGTTGGAGGATGCAAGTGCCTCCTCGCTTGAGGACCGAACCGCAGAGCATCTGAAGGGTTCAACGTTTAAGGTGCACATGCTGCCAGTGTAGCCGTTTTGGCTCAAGTGCACTTGGCTTCCAGGTCAGGAGTACCTCAAGGAGATGAGCCGCCGGCTTGGGTTGAATGGCTGAAGCTGTGCGAATCGGTAAGAGACGACTGGACTGGCTTGAAGAAGCGCTTAGAGAATGAGATTTTCGAGAGGCCATGAAAGAGGGCCCTATAGCGGAAGTGGTTTGGTTGGCGGTTGTTGGTTGTTTGTTGGTTGTTGCTTGTAAAGAACGCCTTGTTGATGAGGCGGATCAACGTGACACAAAATCTCACATCCCGATGATGGGAAGAAGCGGAGCTCAAGTTTGGGCTCAGCCATTTGCCAGCACCCTACGCTGATGTGAAAGATGGGCCAGAGAGAAACTGCGGCAAAGTGTATTATTTGCATGGCCACGATGCGTGGCCCGAGAGGGCAGCTAATCCAAGAAGATGTGATGTACCACTATATGTGTATGAGCTGTTTATGTCTGTGTGTATGAGTGTGCAGAAGTCTTCTGCGTGCAGCATTGTTTTAGTGTAAAGGTCCCGTGTTCAGTTAAAACGACTGTTGAAAACGCTTCTGTGCGTAAACGCGGCCGTGCGCGAAAGCGTCTGTGCATAAGAACGTCTCCAGGCCGCAGAGACCCCTGTGCGTAGAGGACATCGATGCTAAAACGACGCCTTGATGCATGTAAAGGGGCCGGCGGGGCCTGCGATGCTGAAAGGGCAGGCGTTTTTGTGCATATTAGCGGGATGAACAGGGGCAGTCGTAATTTCCCTAGTGTAAACACATGTGCCTGTAAAGCCTTTTGTGTGGAACCGGGCTTCTGCACAAGCGCCTGTGCGTAAAACCTAGGTGTCTAACAGGCTCTATGCGTAAAAGCCTCTGTGTTTTGAAAGCGTTTGTGTGAAAGTTGTTGTGCGTAGAGACCTCTGTTTGTAACAGGGTCTGCGGACACTACTATTGACCGGCGTTTGAGTGGGGAAACACGTGAATCTGTAGACCTTCGGACACGGTCAATTTGTACAGATTCGGGCACTGCTTTCGTGATATGCCCCGGCACACTTGAATGTCCGAACAATACCTATGTGTGCAACTTTGCATAAGAGCCACTGCACATTCTTGTTGGAGGTGTAGAAGCCTTCGTGTGGAAAACTGCACGGTGCGCAGAAACATTTGTGCCTAAAGCGTGCTCAGCGAAGAACATGCTCAGGTGGGAGTTGGAGGGCAGTAGTTTCTGAGTGCCCACAATCTGAACATGAAACTGCAGCACCCTGGTGGTGTCAGAACATGTTCGTATGGGTCTGAGAGCACCATATATTATCTCCTGCCTGAGTGGGAAAACACCTGATTCTGCGGACTTCGGACACTGTCGATGTACAGATGGCGGCGATGCTGGCATGATATGGTGTGTGAAACATCCTTGTGTGTGTAAGCTTTTATGTGAAAAAGCGTCTGTGCGTGTGTGTTTTCGCTTTGCTCGTCCTCTCGCTCCTCTTCTTCTCGTTGCCATCTGTCGTCTAGCATAATGACAAGGCCCGCTGTAACCACTGGCAGCCAAGCGTTCCGGATGGAGGGGAGCGTGGGATGATGCCATTTGGAAACTTGTTAGCCCGAGAAACAGGGAAGCCATCTGGCTGAATGGATGTGATTTGCACTTCTTGATGGCAAGAAGGAAGCTGTGATGGAAGAGGTTGCATTGTAGGCTGTGCAATTGTGGGCATCAGAACATTAAAAGATTGCGAACCAATTTGGCACGGAAGCTGTGTGATGCTGTCCAAGTTGTTCTGGAAAGCCTACTGCCAGACGTGACATTTGGGATTCTGGTTTTTCCAGTGCATCGACATACGGATGAACGCCAGCAATTCTAGTGGCTCCAGCGAGACAATTATGCGCGGTGTTTCTGATTTGTTTTTATGGGTCGCCGGCAGACGTGTGCTTCTGCCGCCCCTCATGCACGACACAAAGGGGGTCGGCTGAACACGGCACTGGAGTGGGAAGCATGTGACGTTGTTTTTGCCCTCATGGTTGTGGAGGCTACTGGCCCCGGGTCATCGGGGTGGAATTGTCATTTCGCACATTGCCCACGCTGTTGCTGCGGGCCTGGCCCTGCGAGAAGGTAGTGCGCGGTGAGCTCTTGGTTCAGTAGGTCGTGGCCCTGATGTCTTTGACCTCGCGCGTGGCTCGCTTGTGACTGACATGTCGAAGTTGGGTCTTCCGGCACTGGTGAGTGCTGGTGTAGCTCCGGGAGCAGCCCTGGGCTCAGACAGCTGGATGTAGAATCTTGTGCGTGCTGCGCTGGGCAAGTAGGCTTCGCCGACGAAAGACGTGCAAAATCGGCACGCAGTTCTTTGCAGTGAGTGTTTTTTATACACAAGCAGGAAATAATCGCGACCACGTGCGCTTTATGCGTGGCGCGGTGTAGCTATGCTTTCTTGTTTCATTAACCGACGCCACAGCCATCAATATTACTCCCCAGAGTGCCAGGGTGTTATGAACTTCTGGTGTATCCTTTGGAAGGCTCACCATGGGCGTCTTACGTAATCCGGCGTAATCCCATTCGAACACTCCGGTGAAATGCCAGTCGCAGCTGACACGCAGACCCTCAGAGGACAAGAAGATGATCGATGAACGTGTCCAGGCATCAGTCGGTGGCTTTGCGGCAACGAATGAGTTCGTGCGGAGCACGATCCGTGAAGCAGTGGCGCGGCAGATTTAAGAGTGGTATTCAAACATCAGAAGCGATCGATTTTCCCACAAGATGAAACCCACCCTCAAAACACCAAGACAAGTGAGGAAACAGTTGCCTAGCGGCAAAATGCAAGTGGACAATCAGCAAAACGTTGCCAAAAGCGTGAGCCGTAAAACCTGAAGCCCAAAACCCTCGCCCTTCAACCCTAACCCGAAACCTTACAGTCAACCCTAAACACGAAACCCTTAGACTTTGACCCCTAAGCCCAGGTGGAGGGGGCACAGGGATCCTTCGAGAGCGACTTGCGCAAAGTTGTGGGCGCGCTGAAGTGCTGAGGGCACAGACCCTGATCCTTGAGACCGTCGACGAAATCAGCGTTGACGGCTTGGAAGACGGACAACTGCTTAAGTGCATGTAATTATATGTTGGCTACAAGGGATAGCTGCTTTTAAGCGCATGTGATTTTTTGTTTGCTTCACTGGCTAAAGCGCCTTTGAAGAAATCTTCCCCCTGGACATGAGACGAATCGTCGTGGTTCTGGGGCGCTTTTGGTGAAGTGTTTGTGCAAGTTTTTGTCGACTTTATATTGCCAGTCTTCCAGATGGATGACGGTCCCAAGTCATTCCAGGAAGCTTGATGCCAGCGTGGTTTTGTTTGAGATTCTGCACGTCTGCCTTTGTATCGTTTTGGTCCACGCTGTGCTGACGGTGTTGTCAAATTGGCTTGTCGGCTGCTGTATTCGCCACCATGCCAACATGGGTTTGTGATCACTCACGGTTCCGCAAGTCAACTGGTTCACCATTATTGCATCCAACGGAGGCAACCCAACCAAGGACTTTCTGTTTGGGGCTTGGCCGTGTGCGCGAACGACTCTCTGAAAACTCCAGGGCATTGCACAATTTTTAAAGTGCAGCTGCCGAGCAGACCCAAATTTTTCGGACACCCAGCCTTTTAGAGTTTCAGCGCCTCCACCTGCAATAGTCCAGGGGAGGTGAGGAGCCATAGTGTGCTCCAGATCGGCCCAGATTTCACGCTTTCTGGGTCAAAATATCTCGGCAGTCCTTTCTTACCCCCAAGAAGGAATCCCGCAACAAAAAAGCATGCTTCATGGCCAGATTCTGCTGCACTAGGTAGCAGAGTTGATTTTTTTGAAAGTCACCGCAAAGTCTTACCCCAGATGTTGCAGCTAATGGTTGAAGCGTTTAAAACGCGACGCCCCTCCCCCCCCCCCCCCCCCCCCCCCCCCCCCCCCCCCCCCCCCCTGCCCCCCCCCGTCCCCTTCCTCCCCAGACAGGAGAGACAAGGGAGGAGTCGGGAATGGAGCCGGGATGGAGTCGGGAAGGCGTGTCGGCAAGATGAGCTCGGAAGTCCGAGAAGTGTACCAAGTTTTAAGGGCGCCTAAATCCTAAAGTCCAAGGCCAGTGGCCCCTAAATCCTAAAGCCCAAGGCCCAAAAGCCCCTAAATCCTAAAGCCCAAGGCCAGTGACGCCTAAAGCCCAAGTTGGCCAGGCATGGCCCCACCCCACCCCACCCTTGATCATCCTCTTCCAGAGAAGTACTTGACATTTCGGGGAAAACCGGGAAATTTTGATGGAAAGCCGAGAATTGTTGGTGGAAAACCGCTTTGGTGGAAAACCGGGAAAATCTAGTGGAAAACCAAGAAAAATTTAATGTAAAATCGGGACGTTTTGGTGGAAAACCTGTAAATTTTCTTGGAAAACCGGGAAATTTTGGTGGAAAAACCAGCAGATTTTCGTGGAAAACCGCGAGTTTTGGTGGAAAACCAGGAA